TCCAAGGAGCTGCATATGATTCCTAGGAAAAAGCACTTGTGATTATTGTCTTTTGCCTTTTTCATGTCTATACTATGAAGGGCTGGGACTGAGAGAAGTGGTAGGAAGACATCTTCCAATGAGCCATGCCAGGTGGGCTCATTCTCCATAGCAGGTGGATGAACTGTGCCATGTAGACACCTTGTCAAACAGGAGCTTCTTGGGTACCATTTAGGTATGAGAAGATACTTCCACATCAGTCGCAGGGTCACACTCTGCAGGCAAAAATGTCAATAACCCAACCTATAGGTTGATCCCAGCCACAGCCTTTAACCCCATGTCCTGAGGGCAACTTCAGGATGCAGACCTGTGTTCTGCTTTGCATCATGTAATCCTCTTAATAACGTGAGCAGAGCTGCCTGACAACTCTTAAACCCTTGAGGGCACCAGGCCCTGCTCAGCAGTGAAAAGGTCAGTGGGACAGCCAATAGCTCATCCATCATCTATGTCACAGCTGCCACCACAACTAGTGTTTGACTCTGCTTATGCACCACAGCCTTGGTGAAGCGTTGCCAATGGTGATTTTGTTACCAAACAACCTGTCTGGGAGCAGGTAATGTTCTCCTCTTGTGACTTTGGCAGATGTGCCAAAACACCTGTCATGTTGCAGCTTTTCCCAAAGGTGCCCCTGGCTCTGGGGTGACATCCACAGCTGGAGTGCACCCAAGCGAGGAAGGAGCAGCTGATGGATGTCTGCAGTTCTCACCATGGCCAGGCACTTGTTAGGTGAAAATGTCCAGGAGCAAATTAACCCATCAGCCCTCAACAATTGGAGCAGCAAGAGGACAGGAGGTGCTCCCTGACCTCACTCTTACTGACTCCACTTGACTGATTCGAGCATGGACAGTGAAGCATGCACAAAGCTGTTTGCCTGGTCATGACCTTTCTACTAGAGTTTTTCCCCTTCTGCTGAGAGTCCTACAGGGCTTTGGAGCATGGGAAAACCGAGGGATGGGGAATTTTATGCATGGCTAACACACTGTCAGGTTTTTAAAGCAGATTGGAATAGGTTGGGCAGTAAAGCAAATGGACCCAGAGCAGCAGGGATTCATCAAAGGGCTCAGCATCCACTTAGGGACATGAAGCTTCTTGGTTTAACCTTTTGCCCCTTATTTATCCTAATTAAAATCTTCTATAGCATAACTTATGACCTGCTACCCTGGGCCTATCCAGTGTCCAGGGTCCTATGGTCAACATTGCCAAAGGATCCTCTCAAATCTACCAAAAAAAAATTCCCAAGAACTTGTTGAAACATAAGACATCCCCATGACTATAGTCCAAGTGAGAGCACTGGGTGTTTTAAACGAAATTTCACATAAACAATATATAGTCAGTATTAAAACTGTGCAAATGGAATCATATTCCTCCACTCTAATTGTAGCAGTGACTTCCCACATCCTCTGGTGTTGCGTGGGAAGAGAAGAAAATCTAATGTGTTTCCTGTGATTTATTAGCTGAATGCCTAAGGAAACCCTTCCAAGTAACAGTTTCCTACACGTTGGTTGGCAGGTCCCCAGCATAAACCAGAGACCGTATTCATCTCTGGGCATTTTTAAAGGGAAGTCCTTAGTGATGGGACCACACCAAGAAAAGTTTCACCCATCATAAAATACCTGAAAAACTTGGGATTTGACTTCTAGCTCACTGCAAGCAGTGGGGACAACAGGAAGGGAAAAATAAATGCTGGGAGAAGGAGCATCTGATAATGTCAGGGAAATAAAGGAGGGCAGTGAGCTCAGAAGTGCTCAGGGAGACTGACAATATTTTAACGCTTGTCAGCAGTGACTGGCTGGTTTAACTCCTGACCAGAGATAGGGCTTGACACTACATTGGAAATTTATCATTCTTGGGATTTTTTTTCTCAGTGAAAAAATCCTTCCCTGCTGGGGAAAATGTCCTTTTAGTGTGCTGCAGGTCATGGGCTTAATTCAGAGAGGTGAAAACCAGCTTCAAATTCATTTTCTCTCTCATGCTTGGAGGACCATTGTCTTATCTGTCTGATCAGACAGAGCCTGATGACTCAAAAAATTCCTGCCAGGGACTCTGTAGCATTTTCCCCCCTCTATAAAATAGAGCCTCATCCATCTTTGAGGGAGTCCTACAACTAGTGTTATACAAACACCATTCGTAGAATCACAAAATGGTTTGGGTTGGAAGGAACTGTAAAGACCATCTAGTTCCAACCCCCTGCCATGGGCAGGGATGCCTTCCACTAGACCAGGTTGCTCCAAGCCCCATCCAACTTGGCCTTGACCACTTCCAGGGATGGGGCACCTGGAAGACCTTTCCCTCTTACCCCACATTTGCACAGGAGGTAATTGGCATATAAACTCATGAGATCCCTGTTTTTCTGCAGAAGACAATTTGTTTCTCATCCATCACCACAGGTTTTGCTTTATTTTCCTGTTTGTTCCCCATGCTGCAAGTTTTCCTTCACCTTCCCTGTGTCCCCACAGCACACCTCTGTTCTCCCACCCAGTCTGGGACATTCTTTCTCCTCTTGTTTAAGCTGGTGGAAATGCAGAGTGATTTCATTGAAGCCATCAAAGGGGTCACTCTGCAAGGAGTGTTGAGAGACACCCACATGTGCTCACATGCAGGCAGCAACAAGGTCCCAGGGGCACCAAATTGGATGGTACCTCTGATCCCAGCCTGTGAAGGCACTGTCAGTGCTTAGGACATGAGCATACTGGTCAGGACTGGTCTGGATGGGGGAAGCCAAAGCTCTGTTGTGCCGCCTTGAGAAGCCAGACAGCTCTTGCTTAGGTGAGTAGGTTCTAGGGTGAACATAGCACAGCTCCTGCCAAAGCCAGACATGATCCTCCAGAGTCCTGAATAAACTCATTGCACAGTGTAGAAAGCCTGAAGTGTGAGGATTAGTGCAGACCACATGTATCAGGAGACCCAGATTTGCTACTGGTCTAATATTTAAGGTCCATTAGTAGAGATCCCAACACTCTGGTGGCTCCAGTCATGGCCATGAGTAGATGCACTTTCTAATCACTTCTGTTTTCCCAGGCCTCAAGCTGGGTAATTCACATTGGAGAAGTGTTAGGAGATGCCCAGGGTAGAGCAAAGCTTCATTTTATTAAATATATGAACTTGGTGGAGCAAGCTCTGGGTGGGTAAGGACTGTTGTGTGTCTGTGGAACCTTTTGGGAATAGATGAGTATGGAAACTGGATTTGGTCCTGCCGGGACACGGAAAACAAATGTGGACTTCACCTTGGTCACTGCCTTCCTGCTGGTGCTCTCATGAGGTGGCCATGGATGGGAGCAGGATGGGAAGGAAGGTCTCTGGGGTGGTGCTGCTGGTGGGGAGATCAGCACAAAACCCCATCACCATCTCCCACTACCCACAGGGTCTGAGAACGAGGTGACCCAGGTGAATCGGTGTCTGGATGCCGCCAAGGCCTGCAATGTGGACGAGATGTGCCAGCGGCTGCGGACAGAGTACGTCTCCTTCTGCATCCGACGCCTGGCCCGAGCCGACACCTGCAACCGCTCCAAGTGCCACAAGGCTCTGCGCAAGTTCTTTGACCGTGTGCCACCAGAGTACACCCACGAGCTGCTCTTCTGCCCCTGTGAAGACACAGCCTGTGCCGAGCGCCGGCGGCAGACCATCGTTCCTGCCTGCTCCTACGAGTCCAAGGAGAAGCCCAACTGCCTGGCACCTCTGGATGCCTGCCGGGAAAACTACGTCTGCAGGTAATGGTCACACACGGGGTGGACAACATAGAGAGCTGTCCCTTGGGCAAGTCCCTGGACTAGGGTTCATCCACTAGTGACAGCCCCATGAGCTGGGGCAATGCACACACCTGGAGGATCCTGCCTGGAGGCAGGCACCATCCCACTACAACCCAGCGACATGCCATTGCCTCTGTGTCTCCTCCCATGGCCCACATCCTGGGCCCTTACAGAAGGTGTTAACAGAAGTTTTGAGATGTTCATGCTGGAGATTTTAATACCTTTTTCGGGTTTTTTGGCTTTGGTCCTAATGAAAGACCCACTGTGGAAACAGTTCTGGGAAGATGCAAGCTAAGCAGGGATGTGTTGTGGGATGCTTACAGCCACTTTCACCAATCCATCTCCTCACTGTTCTACTGCCCTAGGCCAGACCATCCCATGGGACCACCCAAACTATCCTCATAACAAGCACTTGGGAATACCTTAAAACCATGGGTTTGTGGGTTTTTTAATTAGAAAAGTTAATCATATACATATAAAAGATTCCCTTCTGCTGCAAGGCTACATGTCAGGGAGAACTTATAGTACCTCCAGTGTCTACAAGAAGACTGGAGAGTGACACTACAAGGGGGAAAGGCTTCTCACTGCCAGAGAGCATGGATAGATGGGATATTGGGAAGAAATTGTTCCCTGTGAGGGTGGTGAGGCACTGGCACAGGTTGCCCAGAGCAGCTGTAGCTGCTCCATCCCTGCAAGTGTTCAAGGCCAGGTTGGATGGAACTTGGAGCAACCTAGGCTGGTGGAAGGTGTCTCTGCCCATGGCGGGGGGTGGGACCGGATGATCTTTAAGTTCCCTTCCAACCCAAACCATCCTGTGATTCTATATCCTAGTGATTGCAACAGGAGTCTGAGAGTCTCTGCTGCCACTCCAGATCCCCCGTGTAATCTATGCCCAGGGTGATTTTCTCCTCTGTTTCCATCCAACCCCCAAATCATGCACACACATACACAGACCCATCCCATGTGCACACTCACAGCCAGATCCCTTCAGCATCTTTACATCAGCTGTATTATTTTCACCCCTCTATTTCTCAAAAAGTCTTTGATATTCCAGAAGGTTAATCCACATAGAGCTCTCTGGAGCAGAGCCCATCTGCCAGTGAGACACATAAGACCATAACAGCACCAAACATGGTGGTCCCAGCCCAGTGCCCTGTGTGCAGCTGTGGCCACAAGGAGACACCTGGAGAAGAGCACAAGAGCAAGTGTAGGACATACCTCCCTGTATTGTCCCAGTCTCTAATTGTTGTGGGGTTTGGGACTTCCTGAACTGAACTTCCAGCAGCCATTGCCCACCAGGACTTCATCATTAAATGACAATAAAAATATTCTGTATTTTCACAGGGGGAGGTGAGAGCAGCAGAGTCCTCTTGGAAGGATGGACTGCTACAAATCCCTTCACCCCTCTGCACCCCAGAAATTTGGATGAAGGACAGCTGAGCTAGGCAGAAGCTGACTTTGAAAGATGCAAAGCCCCTGAGCCACACCAGCCCCTGCTCAGATGTCCCCTGGCTGCCCAGGAAATCGAAATGGACAGGCACTGCCCTCTCCCTAACAAGACAAGTGGGCCCAGTGGGTAGGAAGAGGATCAAAGGGGAGAGTGTTGCTTCCCAGGAGACTGGAAAGCATTTCCTGCAAGCAGCACAGCTGTTAATTATCTGGTCCCTTGGTCTCTGAATATATAATATAAAATATCCTCTAGAGACACAGCAGGAGCAAGGGGTTGATGTGTGACCTGGTCAAAGCTAGCAGTGCAGAAACCACGAGGAGAGCCAGGAATAAATCATAAAGGAATGAAGTAAAATACTCCAGGGCTAACCCTGCCTGCACTGCTTAGTCCTCCTGCAGCTCCTTCATAGCTGTAACCTCTTGAATTTCCCAGCTTGAATGGGTGGATTCTCCTAACACAAAACCTGCAGTCAGTAACTCCCTCCTCTAAATGCAGCAAATTTTGGGCAAGGAGGATTTGCCTGGCCATAGCAAAGGTTAGTATGGGGCAAACATAGGAACAAAGAGGGAAAAAAGAGAATGGGGAGTAGGGGAGAAGTGGGTAGGAAAGTGCTAGCTGGAATGTTGACACTGACCAGGAACACTGACAAAACGTCTGGAAGAGAGAGGATGTGTGGGAGGACCAACATGCTCGATTTTTCTGAGGTTGCCCAGGCACAGCAAACATTTTGAGGTCAGTTCACAGTTCAGACACTGCAGGTTGTCATCTAAAGGACCTTCCCTTCATGTGTCAGCAGTACTAGGGCTTGCTTGAGTTTCCTAAGCAGCTCAAATGCCACTTGAGATCCCTTCCTACCTGGCCATGGGACATCTGTTTAGATGGATCTGGATCTCCAGTAGGACCTATGTCCTACCTGAAAGCCCCATGTGGATGTCTCAGATAGCCTACAATGTCCAAACATCACTATCTGCCAACAACTGCCTCATCCCTACAGAATTAGGCAGCAAATATCTGGTTGGCAGCATGATTTACATATTCCACAGGCTCCAGGGAGTCCAACCTTCTCCTGAGAATGGGGGTCAGCAGCAGAGGATGTGGCAGCAACCCTGGTGATTGGTAAAGCATTTCATATCTGAGCCTTTGGGCATTTCCCTTGATCTTAGCTGACCTCAGCTACTTTGAGAGCACAGTCTTTGAAGAAAGAGAAACTGGACCAGAGTGATTCACTCTTTCAGCAAATCATCCTAAAAATGAAGGTTGGGGTCTTTAGGCAACGTTATTACCCAGAGGACAGAGAAATATAACACAGAATGAATTCCCTCACTGCCTGCAACAGCTCTTCCTTCAAAAACTAGCTTCACAGAGCAGAAAACAAACATTTCTTCCAAGACTGGACCTTTCTTGCAGGCCTAAACCTGTTCAAAACTTCCACCTGGGTTTGCTGGGGTAGGAGTGTAAAATGACATTGATTCAAACTGGTTTAGCAACACCTACAGCAGCAAAGGATTTTGCAAAGGTGTTCCCTTATGTAAACACCACCAGTGGGCTGTTATGTTGTTTTTGCCCTGAATATCTGTGCTAATGTGTCCTGTTTTGTGCTGTGGCTCCATCAGGTCACGCTACGCGGAGTTCCAGTTCAATTGCCAACCATCCCCGCAGACCGCGAGCGGCTGCCGGAGGGACAGCTATGCTGCCTGTCTGCTGGCCTACACTGGCATCATAGGTAAGAGGCTGCCTCCTCTGGATGGTTTGTCTCCCACTCTCTGGGTGGGAAATACCTACTCTTGTGGGGAAAGATCTCCTCTTACTCTAGCTGTAAGGACAGTAAGGTGGAGAGCTGAGCTCGCATGGAGATCAGTCATGGAATGGTTTGGGTTGGAAGGGACCTTAAAGATGAGTTTATTTCAACTCCCTGCCATGGGCAGGGACATCTTCCACTAGACCAGGTTTCTCCAAGACCCATCCAGCCTGTTGCAGGGCTTTCTCCCTGCAGTGCTTAGAGAAGGAGCGTAAGCCATGAGCATGGGACACCTTTAGGATGGCTGCAGTGAAGGGAGAAAAAACAGGCACCATGGGCTGCTGTAAGATCCCAGCTGCTCTCTCTGATGGAAATAGATGGGCCATTCCAGGGCATCTGCTGTGTTAGGGATTCCCCGATGCCATCACCAGTGATGCCACTGGAAATCACCATCCACTGTCATCCTGCTGACTTCAGGGGATGTCAAATTCATTTTGGGATGCTGCAGAGCCCCAGCTGGCAGTAGTTAGCACAGGCACAGACAGAGTCCAAAGAGAAGCACTGATGGCCATTGGACTCGATCCATCCTGATGGATGGGACAAATTGACAGCTTTTTGGGTCAACATTTCATTCTGGATTAATCCTATCTTTTTTGTCTCTGGTCATTCTGCAGATGTGGTTTGTCTTTTTCAATGAGACCGTGAAAACTTTTACACACATTCACATACAGCATTTGAGTGTTCAATCTGGAGATTAAAAGGCTCTGAGAAGACCTTTGAGCATCGTCCAGTGCCTAAAGGGGTTCCAAAAGAGCTGGAGAGGGACTTTGGACAAGGGCCTGGAGGGACAGGACAAGGGGGAATGGCTTCCGTTGGTGTGATATGTTGTATCCCTTGGGGAACAGAGCAGAGGAGGAAAGCAGGAGCTTCTGTGCACAAATCACTCGCAGTCACTCCTAGGCACAGTGCATTGTTCTCAGAACTTTCTGATGTGGCAACCCAAGTCTAAATAGTCCTTGGAAGGTGTCCCTGCCTATGGCAGGGGGTTGGAACAAGATAATCTTTGAGGTGCTTTTCAAACCAAACCATTCTGTAATTCTATGATTCTATGAACCTGAATCCCCAGGATCTGTCTATACCTTGGACTAACAGCACTTTTTAGTAGACTGAAGAATTAGGTGGTGGTGGTGTGACCAAAAGGTTTGTGTCTTTCCCATTTCTCCCCGGGAGCAAACCAGACCTGTGACATCAGCACTTGAAGGGTTTTGCTGCCATCATGGAGGGGCTGTATGCAGAGTAACTCAAGAGAGTAGTAAGGAGAGATTTCGTTGATGCTTCTTGAAGCACCAGCATCATGCTAACACTTGTCCATCTTTCCCACAGGCAGCCCCATCACACCCAACTACATCGACAACTCAACATCCAGCATAGCTCCCTGGTGCACATGCAATTCCAGTGGGAACAGGCAGGAAGAGTGTGAGAGCTTTCTGCATCTTTTCACCAACAATATTTGTCTCCGTAAGTATCTGCAAGCATACGTTTTTTTGAGAAAGGGGCATGGAGATGCCATGGTCCTCGGGCCTTTAGGTGTCCAGCTCCTTGGAGTGAGCTCTGGAGACCTTCAGGCATACATTTGGATAATGGAGTTAGCAGAGGCTGGAAAAGAGATGTATGTGCTTTGTGCTGCCCTGATAACCCTTTTCTCCATCTCTTTTCCACACAAAGAAAATGCCATTCAGGCCTTTGGCAATGGGACCTACCTGAACACAGCCATGGCCCCATCCATCCCTCCCACCACACAGATGTACAAGCAGGAGCGAAATGCCAACAGAGCCGTGGCGACCCTCAGAGAGAACATCTTCGAACACCTCCAGCCCACCAAGGTAGGGGAGGGCTGACCTGGCCCAAAGAGATGCATGGCCATGTCTATACCTCCTCCATGCCCTCTGGCCCTCCTCACCTCAGCTCCTTCTTGCCCACCTGTGTCATTTCAGCTACATGCAGACATCCAATCTCCTCTCCACCTCCTGGAGGCCTTGATTCACCCTCTTCTGGATGCTATGGCATGTTCTTCCCCTGCATCAAACACAGAGCTACAAGCTCCTATCCCCAACTCTGCCC